CCGTCGCGGACCAGACGGTCTTGTACAGCGCCCAGCCTGCCCGGAGACGCACACGATCTACTTTAGCGCGTCGCACTTGCCGCTCATGTCGTTTGTCGTTGCGACGCTCATCAAGAGCGAGCTCGAGGTGCACTTCAAGTCGCTCACGCCGCCGCATGCGCTGCCGGTGCTTGTCTTGCCCAGTGGCAAGAACATCAACGGCGACGCGGCCATCACGTCTGCCGCGTCTACCCCGACACGGGCCTCTACGGCGTGGCCAAGGAGCCGGTCCTCCTCTCGGAGATTGACGCGTGGGTCGACTATGCGCTCGGCCACATTCGGTCGGCGACGGTCCACACGACCGCGGCCTTCCTCGACGCCGTCCTCGCCGAGCGCACGTTCCTCATTGGGTTTGGCCTTACGCTCGCGGATATCGCTGTGTACACGGCGCTGACGCTTGTCCATTACGCACCGGCGACGACGCTGCCGCACCTCTCGCGCTGGTGTGCGTACCTGGCGTCGCAGTCGGTGTTTGCGTCGGCGAAGGCGACGCTCTCAGCGATCAAGCCGGCGCGTGCCACGGGCAAGCCGCCGAAGGAGTCGCTCCCCGAGAGCCAGAAGGGCAAGACAACGGGCAACTGCCCGCCGTTGGAGGGCGCGATCGTCGGCCAGGTCGTCACGCGCTTCCCGCCCGAGCCGAGTGGGTACCTCCACATTGGCCACATCAAGGCGTGCTTGCTCAACGACTATTACGCCCGCGCGTACGAAGGTCACTCACATTGCCCTTTGGCCTCTCACTTTGCACTTGCTCATGTCACTTTGCACTCTAGGCAAGCTCATCGTGCGCTTCGACGATACGAACCCGTCGAAGGAGAAGGACGAGTTTGAGCAGGCCATCTTGCAGGACCTTGCGCGCCTCAACGTACGGACACGATCGAGATGGCCTCCTGCTCACCTTCTTCTTATTCTTCTTCTTGCGTAGATCAAGCCCGACATGGTCACGTACACGTCGGACAGCTTTCCGCAGATCACCGAGCTCGCGCGCCAGCTCATCCGCGAAGGCAACGGCTACATGGACAACACGTCGCAGGAGGTCATGCGTGACGAACGCATGCACGGCATCGAGTCCAAGTGCCGCAACCAGGACGTGGCCACCAACATGGATCTCTTTGAGAAGATGCTCCTCGGCGACGCGGCCGCCGACGGCTACTGCCTCCGCGGTGCGTTCCAGCCTCCCGCCTCTGTCTTATCGTTTGTTTATCTTATCTCGATTCTTATAGGCAAGGTCGACATGCAGGCCAAGAACAAGACGCTGCGCGATCCAGTCTTTTTCCGCTCCAACGTACTCCACTACGATCTGATTGCGATACTTTTGAATTCTGATGGGAAATGGACGTAGGCGACGCCGCACCACCGCACGGGCACCAAGTACAAGGCCTACCCGACGTACGACTTTGCCTGCCCGATCGTCGACTCGAACGAAGGCGTCACGCACGCGCTCCGGACGACCGAGTACAACGACCGCGACGCTCAGTACCAATGGGTGCGTGTTTGTAGCCACCTTTTTTCAAGTGCTGACACTATGGAAACATCGTAGGTGCTGGACGCGCTCAAGCTGCGCAAGGTCCGCATTCACTCGTTTGCGCGCATGAACTTTGTGCACTCGGTGCTCTCGAAGCGCAAGCTGCAGTGGTTTGTGGACCAGGGCGTCGTCGAGGGCTGGTACGACCCGCGTTTCCCGACGGTCCAGGGCGTCCTCCGCCGTGGCGTGACGGTCGAAGCGTTGCGTGAGTTTATCCTCTCGCAAGGCGCGTCGCGTCGCATTGTCGACATGGAGTGGGACAAGTTTTGGACCATCAACAAGCGTGTGATCGACCCGATTGCGCGCCGCTTCTTTGCGATTGACGCCAACCGCGCCGTGCGCCTCAACGTGCACGGGCTTCCGTTCTCGGGCGTCCAGGGCCTCCCGACGCCGCTGCACCCGAAGAACCCGGAGCTCGGCCACACGGTCAAGCGCCTCTCGTCGTCGCTCTTGATTGAGCGGGACGATGCCAACCACTTTACGATCGGCGAAGACGTGACGCTCATGCGCTACGGCAACGTGACGATCACGGCGATCAACAAGAACAGCGACGGCGAGATCGTCTCTGTCGACGCGAAAGACCACCCGGAAGGCGACTTTAAGAAGACGAAGCTCAAGATCACGTGGCTGGCCCAAGTCGACGACATTGTGCCCGCGACCTTGGTCGAGTTTGACCACCTCATTAGCAAGCCCAAGCTCGAAGAGAACGACAACTTTGTCGACCACTTGACGCCGGTCACGCGCGCCGAAATGCACGCACTCGGCGACCACGGCCTGCGCAACCTCCAGTACGGCGATGTCATCCAGCTCGAACGCCGCGGCTACTTCCGCGTCGACGCGCCGTACGTCTCCAAGGACAAGCCGCTCGTGCTCTTTATGATCCCCGACGGCAAGCAGCGCGCCATGTCGACTCTGTCGACCAACCTCGCGCATCGCTAAGTCGATATGGACGCAACAGCCTTTTTTGAATGCAGAGCTTGAGCATACTACTAGTACTATCGTTGCCTTGTGTGGCAGCAAGGCGGTGGCCAGCGAGGCTTGAACCCCTTGTCGTTGCACCAACGGTGACGACCGGCAGGCTTGAAAGATACGCAATCCTGGTGCGAATTGATTGGCTCGTAGAATGTGGCACATGCCATGTTTAGCAGCACCCTGCGACATCCCATGCCGCCACGACCGACAACTCATCGGTTGTGCAGCCAGAGCTGTTGACGATCGTCTCGCTCAGAGCTTATGAGCTGATGGTTCTAGCCCTCACGGATGTTATTGTCAGCTGAATACAGGTAAGTTTGCTTGTGGGCGCGATCTTGGAGGCCGACGGAGCAGCTCTCTCCAACCAACAATTCTAGACCGCGAAGTGATGAGGTTGACGCGATGCGACCTTGAGTCCAGTCGCCCAGTAGCCCAGTACCGGTAGCCCCCACGTGCGGCAGCCACTGGTGCCGACTGCATACTAGCCGCCAGGATCCGTTCGTTCTCGGCGGGTCGACGAAGAGCGAAGTCTGCGGGCGGCTGCCGTGCTAGAACAGCCCGGACGAGCGGTCGTGAGAGAGGATGCATGCTTACGTTACCGGTAGCTTTCAGAGACATTCGCCGCTTGGTTGTCTGCGCAATGACACTGTTTGGTCGCCTGTGACGAAGGACGGATGCCAGTATTAGTCGATGAATCCAGCCACGACGAGCTTGCCGGGATCGATCCAGCGCTAATTGGTGGTACACCCGACGTGAACGACCTTTGTTTGGACCCTTTTAGCCGTGAGCATTGCTTGCGATGACCCTCGCGTCCGTCTCATCCTCGTGGTTGGTTATACAACCCTGCGCAAGGGCCAAGCTCGGACGTGACCAGAGACGTGCACAACGCACTGAGCTGGAAGCGCCGCGTGAGCGCGCTCCCGACCGGCGCTTGCTTGTTGCGGCACGTCGACGTCACTCGAGAGCATTCATACAAGTCCAGCAATGCCTCGTACCACGAGTCTACCGGTACAAAATTGTACCGGTCGTTGCGCGATCCTGCTCGGCTGCCAGAGACCTGCGCAACTACAACTAATCGACAGCTGTTTTCCAGCGACCGCTAGCAGCCGGTGGAAGGGCATCCACTTGGCCGGACCTTGACGCTCGGGCGTACGTTGAGTGCGAACCAAGCTCTGTAGCAGCCACAGCGTTCCTAGCCAAGCCCCGCGTCGCCAGCAGCAAGGCTCCTCGAGGCCTGTAACAAAATAAAGGCCGACGCGCCAAGCTGGAACGAGAGGCCAACAACCCGAGCACGCAGTTTCGTTGTCTGCACGCTAGCATAGCTTGTTGGGGGTACAGCCACTGTACCTGGCAGTGTAGGGTTGCGTGAGTTGTCGGTGGATCTTGGGCGTGGCCCGCACCTCCTCTCGCATTCGGTCGTCGAGGCATTGGATTGGCTGGTTTGATGGGTTCGAAAATCCCACGACGCTGATTGGTGGATCGATTTTGGAGCGGTGAGGAAGTTCATTTTTGCATTGGCCGCATGACCCGCATGTCGCCGTCGGTCGCCCACGCGGTGCTCTTCTCGACCGACCTCTTCCGGAGCGTGGCGCAGTTCCAGACCGGCGCGCCAGCAGGTCTGCGCAAGCCGCTCGCGCATCTCCGCAAGCTCCTCGCGCGCATGCGCCACCGCTGCGGGATCGGCCCGGCGCTCTGGCTTGGCTTGCCAAACGACGAGGCGAGCTGGCTCAACGTCTATGGCCTGCGTGCGCTCCTCTTGCTCGCCCGCCACTGCCCGCGCGCGGTCTTGAATGAAGATGTGTTTGACTACATGAGCGGGTACGGCCACATGGACGCGGTCTGCCTCCTCCACGACTTGCAGGCACCGTGCACCAAGTACGCATTGAACGCTGCGGCCGAGCACGGCCATCTCGACGTCGTCCGGTTCCTTCACAGCGAGCGGAACGAAGGCTGCACGACGCATGCGATGGACTATGCGGCCAAGAACGGCCACGTGGATGTGGTTCGATTTCTGCATGAGCACCGCACGGAGGGCTGCACAGTCTACGCGATGGCAGCCGCCGCGTCCCACGGCCACTTGGCGACCGTCATGTATCTGCACGCGAATCGCAACGAAGGCTGCACGGCCGCGGCCATGGACCTCGCGGCGTGCAACGGCGACGAGGCCATGGTGCGCTTCTTGCACACGCACCGAACCGAAGGCTGCTCGTACGTTGCTCTTGACGGAGCCGCCAAGATCGGGCACCTCGGAACCGTTCGCTTCCTCGACACCAACCGGTCGGAAGGCCGCGTTGCCGACGCGCTCCTCTCGGCCGCGCGCTTTGGCCATACCGAGGTGGTCGACTACCTCTTGACTCGCACGCCGTACGTCGACGCAGTCTTGAACGTCGCCGCGCGCAACAACCATGTGCACCTCGTTGAGCATTTGCTCGCGACCTATGCCACGCGTTGCTCGCCCAAGGCGTTTGTCTGGGCGGCGATGGCCGGCCATGTCAACGTGCTGCGCGCGCTGTGGGACTTTGACATGGATGCGTGCCCGCTCCTCGCCGGTCGCCGCGCCGCCTCCGAGTTCAAGAAAACGCACGCGCTCGAGTGGCTCAGCACGTGCTACACATCGTCGCCGGTGCATTGGACCGGCGCCGTCGACCACATGGAGTTTGTCCTGGCCGAAGCGCGCCCGCGCCTCGTCTTTTAAACGCTGTGGTCGACTAATTTATTCTGCTTGACGTCATCCATGTCTTGTCTGGCAGGCGAGAGAGAGGATGCACACATGGACCACAGCCATATTCGCATGCGTGAGCTCTATGTGGAGGCACGCCGGTAGCCTTCCCGGCAGCCTTGCAGGGAGGAGCAGCCAGGCGAAGGCAGCGTGGCCTTGCAGGATCGCGCCGACCCTTGGCGATTCGAATCCCGCCGGTTCCGCCCTGACGCGCTTGGCCCATGTCTATCCGGACGCTGAAGCGTCGCAACCGACGTCGCGTAGCGATCTTACGGCGGCGTCTACTTTGCGATCGACGTCGTGGAAGCGATGCAGCCCGACCATTGGCATGCCGTGTGCACGTACATAGAGGCGCCGTCCACGGTGCTGGCGCTGCTGGTCGCGCTGCCTGCGTGGGCCAAGGGCGACCGCCTCCTGCGACTGCAAGCGCTGGCGACCGTGGTGCCGATCACGTCGCTGTGGCCCAAGCTGCGGCTGCCGACGAGTGTCTCGCCGCAGCTACTGTCGCTCTACTGCGCCGTCGCACCGCTCTATCGCATCGTGTGCGTCGATCAAAAGTGCAATCTCAGCCTTCTCCTCGCGCTCACGAAAGCGGCGCCGCGCGCATCGCTGCGCGTCCGCGGCGGTGTCCCAGCCGCGTGGCGTTCGTCCCTTAAGACGCTGCGCATTGCATCGATCAAGGTCGACGACGACGACGACGACGATCACGACGACGAAGGCTGCGAGGCCATGCTGCCCACACTAATGCCAGGACTCCGGCACCTCACACACGTCCGCCTCGCCAACGGCCTCGGCCAAGCCACCGGCGCCTTCTTCGTCGCCCTCGCGCACTCGACCACGATCACGTCTCTGTCGCTTTCTTCGTTTCGCTACTCGGCGACCGATCTGCGTCACCTTCAGACATGGGTAGCGACATCGTCCGTGTCCCTTTTCGTCGATGACAGCACGTTGCTGCCCGAAGACGGTCTCGACGAGGCGCTAAACAACCTCTGCCGCGCCCTTGACGTAGCGCGCAACCTGCGGCACCTCGGCCTCGACGCTGCCTTGGCCGACGCGTACTGCCGACAGCGACACGGCCCGCCGCTCCGGCTCACGACGTTGCACGTGTCGTCCAAGCACCTCCAGCTGCTGCATCTTGCGCCGCGGCTGCGCCATGCAGCACTGCAGACACTGCGTGCGACGGGCGCGTCCGATGCCCGTCCGCTCTTGCTGCATTTGAAAGGCGCCATGCCACGCCTTGCCCGACTGCACTTGGGCATGTGCCACTTGGGGGACGCTGGCGCTGCGCGCGTGGCGTCGATCCTGCGCACCGCGACGTCGTTGCGCCACGTCATATTGACCGGCAACGAGGTGACCGACAATGGGGCGCGCGAGCTCGCGGCCGCGCTACCTCTCTCTCGGCTTGCGCTCTTGAACCTCGAGATGAACCGAGTGACCATGGCCGGCGCCTTGGCGCTCGTGCAAAAAGCCATCGAGGCATCGCCTTGGACTTGTCCTGGAATCGGCTGAGCACGGACGAGCAAGACTACGTCAACTACATGGCCGCGTCGACGACGTGCGCGACGGTCGTTTTTCGTGAGTAGTCGAGTTCGTTTGTTTTCAATTTTTTGCGCATTTGTTGATAAATGATATTATCCAACATGACAATTGTCCTATGACGACAATTTTAGCCCCCATAAGCTCGGACAGGTACCCTATGCATCACGCGGTAGCAACGGCTTGAGCTCTCAGCCCGCGACTCGTATTGCTTTGTGAGAAGAGTACGGTACCCACTTCGAGCATTATAGTGACCCTTGTGAAGAGACTTTATATGCGAACGGCCCATCCAGGGATAGGGTCCATCTCGCCGAGTCTCAGTCGAGTACCGCTGGAAGGCACGTTGAGCTGGTGTGTCGCTCTTATCGCTCCACAGGCGCAGGGGCAGATCGAGTGCGCGAAGACGATTCGGGCTCCACTCCATTCTTGTACACGAAACGAAATGCCATTGCACGGGGTGGTAAGATTTTTAAACAAAAGAAATGAAGAAAATGAAACAAACGACTTGTCATAACACCAGCGTCCGCTCACACCGTCTTGGATTGGTGGACGTTCATCAAGAGCCAGCAACTCCAAACTCAATTCGAATTTCTGGCGCCGACATCCCGAGTCAACGGACGTGGTCACATACGATCATCAAAGTAATTTGTGATGTCAACTTTGAAAACAAAGTAAAACAGAACTGTACTGTAGAATTTGATCTTGGCACACCGCAGTACGAGCGACAAAGCCGCCTCCTTCAACTAACGTTAACAAGTATAGAGGCACCACTCGGTTCTCTGTGGACTGGAACATTATTGTGAAGTCTATTGTTGCACATTGTCTACCACGTCTAGGCGTCCTGAAGTTTATAGTCGCGCCACTTGCCGCTTTCTGGAATACCGTACATGGACTGGAGCTTCTTGTCGATGCGCTCCATGTAGCTGTGCACCGCGAGGTTGACCTTTTCGAGGTCCATCGACACCTTGACGTCATCCTCCAAGTCGGTCATGTGCATCTTCTCGAGCACGCGGGAATGCTGCCGCGGGGCCGAGTCCGAAATCGACGACGCGGCACTCGAGTGGAACGACCGGCGCGGCTTGTACTCGGCGTGCGGCACGGGTGGCACGAGCAGGTACGAAGCACTGTGGTGGTCTCGATGGTGCATCGCCTCGCGTGGCGAGTCTTTGGCGTCCAAAAGGTCGTGTTGGATGACCTTGAGCTCGGCTTCGAGCGACTCGTTCTTGCGCTGCGTCTCGTGGAGCATGGCAGCGAGTGCGTTGAGCTCGACCTTGTCGACTTCGGCTTCGGAGCAGCGTTGCTGGAATTGCGTGTGGACACTCTGCGCTGCCACTTGGAGCTTCTTGAGCTCCTTCTCGTAGCGCGCAATGACGCTTTTGAGATTGAGCACCGTGTCTTCCTCTTCGAGAAGCGCATGGCGTGCGTTGTTGAGTTGCTCTTCGAGCGTCTTGCTCCGGTCGGTCGTTGCGTTGAGCTGCGCCTCGAGGTCCTTTATGACAAGCTTGGACTCGGCAATTGTCGACTCGAGCAACGTCACTTGGTGCTCGGCTTGCTTGCACTCTTGGACACAGAGCTCGAATTCACGCACCGTGATACCTAGTGGTCACGTCGCCGTTGAGTCCACGCCATGCACGATGTAATAGAGGCATCATATAACGTGCAAATCAAAAGTCAAAAATCAAAAGTGAAACGTCAAAATCAAAACTCAACGTGAAACGTGGAAAAGACACCGTGCAAAGTCGGCCACAAACAGTACAGAGTCGAGGAGGAACCGCACATACGACAAGACGCCACGTGCACCCGTAACATGGGAGAATACCAAAACACATCGCGACACGCAACGTACTGTGTCCATCGTGCGTCTGGTACATGGCGAGCTTTTGTTTGAGCTCGGCCGTGTTGGCGTTGAGCACTTCGAGCTCCTTGAGTTGATACTCCTTGTCCTGCACGGCGTTTTGAAGCGCGTAGTTCTCTTTTTGGAGTGCGTTGCGCTGGAACTGGAGCTGCTCGACCTTCTTCATCCACTCTAGGACTTCGCGCCGAATGCGATGCACGTCAATCGCTACGGTGTGTGTCGCCGCATGCCGCACCGGGCGTAAATCGCACAGAAAGCTCGCGTGGCCTTGGAGAACGTTCTGCACGACTTGGACGCCGCTCGGGTCCAGCGTGTGCATGGCTTCGAGCAGCGCCTCACCGACCGGCGACTGGCCGTACGACGTGTGGTGCTGGTATCGCTTGGTCAAGCCGCACTGACTGAGCGTGGCCACCTTGTCTGCAAACGCAGTGTTGGCGTGTAGTCGCTTCACACCTGCCCGAAGCTGCGTCTCGCTTGGTAGCGCGAGAAGCTTGACGACGCCAATTTGCTGCGGAAAGACCATCCCGAGCGCTTCGTTGCGACCGTACGAGTGCGAAGCCGTTTGTCGAAACCGGTTGCACGCAAAGACGGCCAGCGCCGCGGCTCGGAAGCGCACTAAGAGCGACCGCACGGGTGTCGTCGACTGGAAGAGCGACGCGATCGCTTCGATCTCCTTGTGCTGGTTCTCGAGAAGACGCATGTGGTGGGACAAAATCCGCTTCTGCATTTGAAGCTCGGCGATCTGAAGGACCATGGGACGCACGCTCACGATAAAGAGGTGCGCGATGCTGAGGTACACGGGCGCGTCGGCTTCGAGTTGCGAAAGCTGTTGTTCGAGGTGGTGGCGCGACGCTTCGGCGTGCGTCCAGCGTTCGGTGGCTTCGGTAAACTGCCGCGTGAGCGCGGTGATTTGACCGTCGTTCTCGCGCAAGAGGCACGCATGCTGCTCTTGAAGCGACTGCATGCTGTTGGTGTGGCGAAGCTGGCACGCTTGCATCTCGACGTCCTTCTCGTGGAGCTTGCGCTGCATCTCGGTCTCGGTCAAGTCGAGCTTTCGGACCGCCTCGAGCTTCTTCTTGACTTCCTTGTTGGCGCGATGGGTCTCTTGGTTCGCCTTGACATGGCACTGGTGGGCTTCTTGGAGCAAGGTCTGTAGGCTGGCCTCCCAGCTCTGGCGCAAGTCGGCGTACGTCTTGTATTGCAGATCGAGCGTCGGCGTCGTTGACGACGCGTCCTGCCACGGCAGTCGCTGCATGCGGTGGATCTGCTGCAGCGTGAATTGTTCCCACTGCTCGACCTCGCTGGCCATGCGCTCGGTCTTCTGGCACGTGGCGCGGCTCCAGAGCAAGAGATCGCGCTTCTCGCGAATCGAGAGGTCGCGCGCCGACTCAGCGACTGCGCACGCCTCTTTCTGCCGCTCGACTTCGCGGCTCAGGTCCTTCATGTCGGCTTTACATGCGCCGAGCTTCTGCGAGAGGGCGCTGCATTGGTCACTCAAGGCGCGCTCGTTCTCTCGACCAGCAATCAGCTGCTTGGACACATGCACGAGGTCGTGCTTGAAGTGGCTCAGCATCGTCCGCAAGTGCTAGCCACGGCGTAAACCGATGAGACATGAAACATGAAAAAATGAAAAAATGCACAAGGGGTAGGGGAGGGGAGGGTACCTGAATTTCCGACGGACATTCGTGCCACGACGCGACCGCCACGTCCACGTCGTCGACACCGAGGCCATCGGCGTCGTTTTCAATCGAGAGAAGGTACAGCCGCATGGCTTCGATCTCTTTTTTGAGCACGTTGGTGGTTTGCCAAATGCCTTGCTTGAGCTGCACCATGTTGCGCTCCTGCTCCTCCCGATCGCGCTGCGCATGGAGGAGCCTGCCGTGCATGTCCTTGTTGTCGAGCTCGAGCTGGTGGTAGTACGGGACCTTTTCTTCCAGCATCGCATTGCGCTCGCGGAGCTCGCGCAGCGTCTCAAGGGCAACCTTTTGCGTGTGGTCCCGTGCCGTCAGGGTTTCGAGCTGGTCTTCGACGGTGTGGCAAGCGCTCTCCCACTGCCGCCGCTTCTCCTGCTCTTTTGCCAGTGACTCTTGCGCGGCTTGGAGACTCGCCTCGACTTGTGCCACGCACGCGTTCGCCGAGGCTTGGATCGACGTGCACTGCTCCGTCTTGTGTGCCAGCGACGTTTGCGCGTGCGCGAGCTCGTCCTGCAGCGTCTGAATCGCAGCATGGAGCCGGATCTGGTGCGACTCGGCCGTCTGGCTCTGGTGCTGACTGCTCTGTTCGCGCAAAACCGCTTGTTGCACGTCGTATTCGAGCTTATGGACTTGTTCGTGGAGCGCGCGCTGGGCTTCCAACGACGATCGGAGCTCAGCTTCCAAGCTCTCTTTGACACGGGCCGCCTTGGTCAGCAAGCCTTTGAGCTGCGTGTTGCGCTGGGCGAGGTCGTCGCGCTCGCGCTGAAGCGAAGATGCTAGCTCGGATGCGTGTTCAAACTCATTGGCGCGCCGTGCCGAGTCGAGGTCCTTGACCTTGGCTCGCTCGTCGAGAAGCGCGACCTGGCTGCGGAGCGACGCGGCTTCGGCGCGAAGGCGGCTATTGTCGTGCTCAAGACGACGAATGAGCTCGAGCTGCTTGCGCAAGTTGTCGTTGAGCGCCTCGTGGTGGCTCTCGGCCAACGTTTGCGCCAGGCGCGGTGGCTCGTCCACCGGTGCGGGTGTCGGCGTCGGCGGTCGGATCGCGCTAAGACGCAGTGACGTGGCGTCCGACGATTGGCGTTTGAGCTTTTGGAGGAGCTCCTTCTGCCGCGCATAGTTCTCGTGCTGCTTGAGAAGCGTTTGCTGGAGCCGCGCGTCGACATCAGACTCGTCGTCCATTCTGCCAAGTAGCGCGACAACCGCGACTGCGTAATCTTCGATTCGCACGCGACTTATTCGATTTCAGTGGCATTTAAATGGGTTTCGAAAGGTCCTACTTACAATTTGTATGCCGAATAAACCGTTCGCATTGTACAAACAAGCGCTCACACGATGGCGGTGAGAAAGGCGCGACCTTTGACCAAAAGATCGCGCTAGTGGCACGAAACGACGCCACGTACCCCAGCCAGTTTGCACTCCAATGACGTAGGTGAGCGTTATTGCAGCTTCAACCTTGTTCGAGCCATCACTCGCCGAGTAGGCTCGATAACGATATGGACAGCTCCGGGTACACTCCCAGTAGCCAAGTGCGGGCAGCAGCCGTAGCGCTCTGTAGAGTCTTGGGGCTCGTGGTTGCAAGCTTGATGTTTTTCCGCTCGAACTCGTTTGATGAATCCTTTTGCTTCTCTCGAAGGGATGCTGGCGTTGGCATCAATGCGATAGTAGATTGTCGACGACGCGCCAGGATGAAGCAGAAGAGACAGTTGCCAGTGAAGAAGTCGCAACGACGTGGCCACGCCTGATCGAGCACCACACGCGTTTTCTGCAGCAAGAACAATCTTGTGGGAAAGAGCAGGATACTTTAGCTGGACGTTGTTGACAACGCTCTCGACGTACTAGTTCAGTAGTACTGCAGCGCACGCAGTGATTGTCGTTCGATATGCACTAGACCTGTAGCATTGACAGTGTCGTCGAAGGAACCAGTTGACGCAGCGGCCCATCGCGCCCCACACCCCGTTGCACTGTACACAACGCGCTATCTTCCTGCTGGCGCCATGAAATGGAATGGTGCCAGAGACTCAGCTCCAGAAAATTTCTGGCGCTGAGTCTCGAGGTACTTATCCGGATAATATGTCCGGATGGACTTGAAGTTGGGCTGGTTTGTACATGGTACAAAATGCACGCCTTGGTTTTTGCACCGCCCAGATCTTGATGACGGCCGTGACCGAAGCTGCGCTCATCGAGCTCATCGCGTGTGCGATTCCGTCCGGCGCGGACCTCGTCGCGTACCTGCGCGCGTGGCCATCGACCTACCTCACGAACTCGCTCCAGCATCTTCTCCAGCTCGTATCGCTTGTGCCATTGCGCCACCTCTGGCCGCGCCTGCGCCTGCCGCGCGACATGCTTCGGGACGCTCGCGTCTTGCAGCACGTGCACTTGGCGATCGCGCTGTACCCGAGCCTCGATGTGGACTATGTCTACGACAGCACGTTCGTGGCGCGACCACAGACACGTGTCCGACTGCGCGGGATGACAAGCCCGACCGAGTTTGCCTTTGCGGCGGCGCAGTGGGGGCCTCGCATCATTTCCCTCGCGCTGCACGTGCATGGCCAAAAGGCCTTTTCGGCAACGACCCGCGCCTGGACCGCTAGTGATGTCGCGCACCTCGTCGCGGTCCTGCCTACGTTGACGTCGCTGCAGGACCTCGACGTAACATGGTCGGCGACGGTACCGAACGCCGATCACATGCTGATGTCGCTGCACATGCCGTCGCTGCGCCGCGTGCGTCTAACGTTTCAAGGCACGGCCGTGTGGACGGCGACGACATTGGCGGCCCTCGCTGCGTGGCTACACACGGCGTCGTCGCTCACCGAGCTCTCGCTCCGACACGTCGCGTGGTCTGTGCCAGACGCCGGAGAGCACTTGGCGACCATGCTTCGAGCGTCATCGACGCATCTCTCTCTATCGGTGACGATTGATGGCGATGCAAGCGCCCGTGCCGACGGCAGCTACGTCTTTCAGTTGCAAATGACGCGGACGCAAGCCACCGAGACGCGCCTTCTCGTCGCGTCGCGTGACGGCAATCGTACCGACGACGTGGTTGCAACGCTGGTCCCGACGAGGCAAGAAAGGACGGTCCATGGCTTCGTGCAGTGTAACTGTACCGTCTATGACGTGGCACTGCCAGCGTCGTCGGTTTCGCGCGTTTCGCCGTTGCAGCTCGCATGTCTGCGAACATTGACGATCTCGACGGACGCCATGCTCGGTGACGTTGGTACGATCGCTCTGGCGTCGGCGATGGCGGCATCCCACCCGTGCTTCCTTCGCGACCTCTGTCTCGACGACCAAGGCATTGGCAGCAACGGCGCACGGGCGCTCGCCGTCGCTTTGAAACATCTTCCGTCGCTCGATACGCTTCGCATGGCGAGCAATCAAATGCGTGGATCGTCTGGCGTCGTCGCGCTCGTCGACGCATGGCCACCGCGTCTCCGGCTCTTGGATCTATCGAAAAACCCGCTGGGGGCCAAGGGGGCCCGCGCGCTCTTGTCTGCGCTCGCAGCGCTCGAGCTACCGGCACCCATCGTTGTGCGTGCGACGCATCTGCTGTGCAGTCCGCTCGAGAGTGCGACGTTGGCCGCGGCGAGCCGTCGGCTACCGCCGTTCCGGACGTGTTGTTTCGAGTCGTCGGCATAATACATGTTGCTTTATGGTGGTTGCGAGCGTGTTCAAGCGGATCGAACGTAGTACAGAACGGAAGGCTCGCAGCTCCAGTTGAAGTGCACCAACACCGTCTCGAAAAGAGTCGCTTCGTGTCGCCCGTTGCATTTTATCTCATTTTTGGTTCGTCTTGGCTTGCCCATAGGATGTTTCAAGCAAAAGCCAGCCATCGACGGTCGTCGGGATCCCAAGCTCGAGACAGGGATCATCAAGCAGCCCAAAACGCAGCTTGATGCCTCGAGGATCCATAGCATGTTGCCGTGTTATGGACGAGAGAGACGAGGCAGAAGCCAAAGGCAGACAACCTCTTCTCCTAGTCCTTGTGGTCGGGATGTGGTTTCCGCGGTACATACGTTACTGTGGTCTGCAGTGTTTAATGCAACCAAGGCCTGGTGCGAAGACTATCATCTTGCCACGTGTGGAGACGACTTAACAAGTAATATCACACCACGGAGCAGGGTAGGAGGAACGAAGCACATCATGTAGTTGATCGGTTGAAAGCAACGTCCAGTATTCGAGCCAACGCCAAACTCGTCTCCATATGTACTGGGAATTTCACGCAGGTACAGAGGTCATTAAAAGTGGCTAGCACCACGGAGACACTAGTCGTGACAAGCAACCTGATTAGGATAGCAGCAAACGAGAGAAGATCAACTAGCGTTGCTCACTCGCCACAAGGTCCAGTACATGCTGGAGGTTGAACATCTTCCCACCGGCGACGTGTCGGACGGGCAGCGTCCGCAGCTGGTAGTATGCGACCTTGAATCGACGGTGCGCGTCCTGAAGTCCAATCTCATGATACATGGGGTATTGGATGCACATCCCGCAGAGCTTCTTGCCGTGGTGCTGGCTGAAGACCTTGATCATGTACAGACTCTGCTTGGTTCCTCCAAAATGGCCGCAGTGGTGGCACGATTTCTTCTCGACAAGCCCAACGACCTTCTTGCGCAGCTGCGTGCGCGGCTTGAGCAGCGTTGGCTCGACGCCGCATTGCTCCAACAAGACATAGCGCCACACCGACTTGTCCATGGCGGCGTCCAGCGCCGGGCTGGCGCTTGAGAGATTGAGAGCATCCTTTGGCTGCAAAAATGCGAGAATGCTGCGTAGCATATCTGGGCCGAACGCCTCGATCACGGTCTCTGTCTTGGTGCGCTTTACGGGTCGAGGCGTCGTCGTGTTGGTTGGTTTCGAGGTGCGCTTGTGGCCGGCCATATTGCAATCGCAAAATGAACATCCAACGCATTGAAATGGGAAAACGCCACAAGAAACACCATCATTCATTCATTGCTGGTCGACGGAGATGGGAAGGACCTTCACGCATCATCCCCATGGTCTGCATTTTAGAATCACAACGGAACTTGATGGGAAACGGAATCCTGAGATGCCCCACTCGTTCCAAACGACTCGGAGAAGACAGTGTTTGATATCTTGCGCCAAGTCTTTGCAGAAGGAAGAAAATGACGGGCTTCGTGTAGCCCAAGGGTGTAGCCTTGTCATTTTATCAGAGCTCCAAGGTACCGGTATTCACTCACACGAGCCAGCCTGCAATTCACACTATTTCCGTTTATCCAAGCAGTATTGGGTACCAAACGTGCAAAGATGGTAGGTTGGCATCTATTATACATCACTAGTTGCATCGATGCCATGTCGACGACAATCACAAGATAGCGCAGCCTCCATGGGCTCTACCTCAACTATACGTCAATTGTCCCTTGGTGGTGCCAACACGTAGCTACCAGTGCGCTACCAAACTGGAGCACGATGGAATTGCCTTGTGCATTCATTGTGCAACTACTTGCGCATTCTTGTTACAAGATCTAGTACAGTCTGTAGGTTGTACATCTTTTTCATGCGTGGCTCGCCCAATTCGTGATCGTAGGACGCAGAGGCGACGAGACGGACTGGCAGTGCATGCAGCTCGTGGTGCTTGAGCTTGTACTTGCGAAGGGCCTCCATGTGTCCAATCTCATTGAAAAATGGTATGTCCATGCACGTCAAACAGAGCTTCGCGCCGTGGTGCTCATTGTCAGCCGTGATCGTGAAGGGACCGCGGACCTCAAAGTGGCCGCAGTGACTGCACGTTTTCTTTTCGACTAGACCGACGACCATCTTGCGGAGCTGCGATCGCGGCTTGATCGTTTTTGGCTTGACGCCACACTGTTTAATAAGAACGTAGCGCCACACGGACCTGCTCATGGCTGCGTCGAGGATCGTGCTGGCGCTCGAGAGGTTGAGCGCGTCGTTTGGCTGCAGGAACGAAACGAGGCGCAGGAGCATTTCGGGACCGAGCGCTTCGATGGTCGTTGGTTCTGTCTTGGTGCGCTTGACGGGTCGAAGCGCCATGGTGTTGGCCAGAGCGGAGGTTCGCTTGTGGCCGGCCATTGCAATTGGAAAATGAACATCCTATGTCATACCCTTTGTTGCCAGAGTGGGATCGCTGAGTGGGATGTTGGGACAAAATGAAAATCCCTCGTCGTCTGGCGCTTGTGCTTTTGAGCTCTTTGTGTCTACAGTAGGTTCTAAAATGTGCGCGGTTCGTGCCGCGAAATCACATGGTCCAATCGATGCGAAGCATCTCAGGTTCGGTGTCCATCGTCAGAAAAAACGTTGACACTTGGTAATGACACAAGTCTGGAGCTGGGTCCGAGCTTTTTGGATGTCTGGATCCACGGGGTTGGACCATGGTGCTCCAATTTTCGTTTTCCTTGGCACCTACACTATTTAGTGTGTGTCCTTTGTTTTGAACCAGACCTTCTGTTGGACCCAACGGAATCTACAAGGACTCAGGAAACGATATGTTGTGCATCGACCGTGCATTGGTGGCGCCCACCAACGCGTTCATCGACGCGACGCTGTCACGCAAACTAGGAGCAACAGCAAGTGGAACTCCGCAACACGGGTCTGGCTCACGACCGCGGACCCTGCTGGTCGATCAAGTAGATTGACGATGGACCACACAGAAAAAGAAACCCATAATGGTACATCCCGGTAATACGCCGCCGGACAAGATCCCCAAAATGCTCCAGACCCAGCTTCAGACTGGCACCAACGCTTTTGCTATGGAAGACAACGAAGCTCCGCAATTCTTGGACTTTCCATGCATTGGCCAAAACGAAATCGCGCCGATAGACCCCGGTTGTTGCACGCCTTTCCGAACGCACTCGATCCAAAAAGTGCAATCCCTCGAGGACAAGTGATGGTCATTTTGTCCCAACAACCCATTTCAACAGCTGTGAATGATGGTCGTTTTGGAAGGGTTCCCGCGATGCTCATTTTCTTATTGCAATGGCCGATCGCAAACGTACCTCCGCTCCGACAAACACGATGGCGCTCCGACCTGCCAAGCGCACCAAGACAGAGGCCCTGACCCTCGAGACACTTGGCCCCGACGTGCTCCTGTGCATCGTCTCGTTCCTGCAGCCCAACGATGCGCTCAACCTCTCGAGCGCCAGCCCGGCGCTGGACGCGGCCATGGACAAGTCGGTGTGGCGCTACGTCTTGCTTGAACAGTGCGGCGTCAAGCCAACGCTGCTCAAGCCGCGCACGCAGCTCCGCAAAATGGTGGTCGGGCTTGTCGAGAAGAAATCGTGCCACCACTGCGGCCATTTTGAAATCCGTGGCCTGTACACGATCAAGGTCCACAGCGAGCATTGCGGCACGAAGCTTTGTATGACATGCATGGACATCCCCGTGTTCAAGGAGATCGGACACATGGAGGCCCTTCGCAAGTACAAGCTCAAGCACCACGAATTGCATACGCTGGCCGTGCGCCTCGTCGCCTCTGCGTACTATGATGACGAAGGCGAGCCGCGCATGAAGAAGATGTACAACCTCCAGGACGTTTTGGACCTTGTGGCACGAGTGCGATAGTCCCGCTTGTTGTTGTTGAATTGGGTCCTCTATAGCGTTTACGTTGCGGTCATTGTTTATGACGCGTACGTGAGCTGTATCCATTGTAAAATACTAGTAGAAGTACACTACCATGAGAAATACGTTCCACTAAATGTTTTTTCCTTGGTACTACGTAGTGGGTTCTGTGGGTGTTCTACCGCAACAACGCTCTCTTGAATGTAGCGATAGCCGGATTCTACTGCAGTGGTCATGAGGTCCGCTGCAAGCGTCTGAACCGACCTCGGGTGACACGCCCATCATTATATACTAGTAGTACAGCATACATGGAGCCATGTGCTAACTACGCGTGACATCGCACCGACAAGCCGACCGCCGCAGCAAGCGCCGTTGCCATGGACTGCAGCATAGGCCCAAGCGGCGCATCGACATCTAAATCGACGAAATCGGTCTCGGTCGTCTCGACGGACGGTGGCTTGAGCGCTGTCCAGCACGTCCGGTGACGTGGCAGATCTGAGAGGAGCGCGTCGCAGTCCCTTCGATCATCGTCACTGCCCATCGAGCCGCGAGCGTCAAGCAATGTTGCGGTGGTAAACTCTACGTACGTCCACGCGTGCAAGAGTGCAGCGACGCCCTTGGCGCCCAGCGGGTTGTTGGACAAGCGCCAGGTCGCCAGCCGTGGGAGATGCGGAAAGAGACCACTCAGCGACATGGCACCGATCGTCGTGATATTGTTGCGGCCGAGGTCCAGCGTGCGAAGGCGCGGTGTGTGCACCAGAGCAGTTGCGAGCGCCGACGCGCCAACGTCGCCAAAGCCTTGGTCGACCAGCGTAAGCGTCTCGAGCTGCGACGTGTGTCGAAGGAACGGTGCGAGAGCAAGAATACCAGCGTCGCCCATCCTGTTGGACGTGAGACAAAGGTGCGTGTAGCGTGGTAGACGAAGCGCCAGCGTGAGGCAGTGGGTCGTCGTGAGACGGACGTTGGTCAAGCCCAAGGTCGTGAGCTGATCGAGGCGCGGGAGGTCATATTCGAGAAAGATCTGCGTCGATGCCATGTCAAAGTCTCTTGCCACGTTAGACAGACACAAGTGCAGTGACTGCAGCGGGCTCTGGACGAGCATGCCGGCAACGTTCTGCATCGGCGACGGGCCGGAAAGACCGAGCTCGAGGTGCGTCAGGTGGTGCGACATGGCGCTGCTGCCGTTATCGAGTCGATGCCAAGTGTTGGATAGTGCGAGGGACACGAGCGTTGGTTTCGCCCAGAGTTGTTGCGTTGGAGAGAGCTTGTCCACATTCTTCATCGTCAGTGACGTGAGCGGCATTGCGTCAATCCAGTTTGCGAGCGCCATCGCCGCTGTCTCTGGGAAGGGCACCTTGAGCGTAGCACGCAACGCAACCTTGGTCACATACTGCATCGACACGAGCAGGTCCGCGAGCGCAGTGAGACACGTGATTTGCGTGGCGTATCGCCCGTCCGACGCCGGGATGGGCAGCGCCGTGATGTCGACGTCGATCGATCGGAGGGACGCTGCATTGGCTACGAACACTTGCTGGACGCTTGCCAGCACAGCCGAGTCCATAGTCCATGTTGCAATCGTGAGCGAGAGATGGCGAAGCGTCGGCCACGTGCGCGGTGGCGTGGCGACCACGACTGGCACAATGGGCCGTGCGCTTGCTGAAGCGATACACAGCCGCGGGTTCAAGCTAAGGAGCTGGGCGAGTATGTTGTCTGCGTCCGCAAGCTGCACGAGCACTAGGATGTCCAGCGTGGGCCAGAGGACTTGGAGCCCCAGCGCATGCGATAGCGTCGCGAGGAGCTCCAGCGCCGGCGTGCGCCGCTGCTTGGGCAGCGCCTCCAGGAACGCCATCATGCCTTCGGAAGGCAGGTACGTCGCAATGGTCTCTAGTAGTGTGGGCGACAGCAGCATGGTGTTGTCAGTAACGTGCTTGTTGGCGGCTTGTCAGTGGCCTCGTCCTGCGCACTTGCGTGTCAAAACTGGCCAGCTGCCGACCAGATATCATCCGGTTACAAAAGCCCAACCGGTTATGATGTGCACTTTCTAAACGGCAAAGTCACATGACTTGGATGGACGCTCGCAATGGTTTAGGATTTCTACTGTGGGAGATCGACACACAAAACCGTTAGTCGTTGGATGCGTCGTAGCGACAAGCCAAGATGGAGAACCTCGTAGTATAGCCAACCGCGCGCGACTCTTGATCAAGAGTACACTAGCTGCAATAATGCATCACTCACTATTCACCAATACTGCTTTACGTTTTCCCACATTTTAAATGCCTAAGGCAGTAGCGCAAATCGAATGGCTGGCGCATTGCAGTCCATAAGGTGTATGGCCTGGCGTTCTGTTGGAAATAAGACACTTGCTCAACATCATTGCTTTAGCAGCAGAGCATGAACACTGCATAACAGAATTGATGGAGCAAACGATTTAAAGTACACCATCATGTATTCAACTTGCGTATCCGGAGACGAGATTGGATTTGTCGAAGTTAGTGATCCAGCAGCCAATCCAGGGCAAGCAAGAACCCTATATAGATCTTTCAAAGCGACGGCGCCAAGAACGGCGGTGTGTGTCAGCAAGAGTGCATTAATCCAATATTGGATTTCTGTACTCTTGGTGTCGGGCAGTGGCTAGCACGAGGAAAAAAGGCTCATTGTCGTATGTGCAATCTGCGCAATGAAACCAGCACTTGCAATATATCTGTCGTGGCCGGTTCCGAGTTGGGTCGCTTCTCTGGGGGTCTATCGAGATGGCTTTTTTCAGTAAGTCTCTTGTTCATCTCTCGGACAAAACCACGTCCCTAGCGTTCGTCGACGCAACTCGATCCGCTATTAGTTGACCACAAGGTAGCTTTTTAGGCCAATGCGAACGGGTTTTTTAAAGTGGACTCGGATATCTCTCAAGCAAACACTCCTCTTCAGGTCGACTTGCGTACCTCCCCTCGCTCTCTCTCTGTAAGCTGAACGGTGATCCCATCATCGGTGCGGAAACGTGACGCAAATGCCACAAACGCATCATCGATCCTACCACGCACCGGGACGAGCGCATCGTTCAAGGCGGTTGTCTCGACGCCGATGTGGCAGCGTTGACGGCCGCTCTGTTGATCACGCGACAGATATCCTGCCCTTTTCATGACCAATTGTGGCAGTAGACGCCCCAATGGGGCGTCTACTGTCACAGGGGTCTCAAATGCGATTCAAAATGCAACAGTTTTTAAGTTTAGAAAATCAAACAACAGCGATCAGCACAATCGTCGCGCGGTCCAAGGGCGTCGACCACAAACGCATCGATATCTTCTGGCAGCTCGTCCACATCAAACGGGACGTTCTGGACAAGTGCCAGCGCCCGATAGAGCGCACGCTTGCCTTTGTCTGAGCCATGCTCTGAGACGGTCACATCGTCCAAGACGATCGTTCCCAAGTCGAGGAAGTTGAGTTGGCGGCCCGCGGCAACAAGCTCCGGCAGCAAATAGATCACGTCGGAAAAGTGCATCGATGTGCGCAGTGACGTCAAGTGCGGCAATCGCAGCACGCCAGCGAAAAGAGCGGTGGCCCCGTCGCAAGTCGAGTGCGGATCACAGAGTTGGAGCGTCTCGAGATGCACGCACGTCGTCGCAAGCGTCTCCATGAGCAGCTCCATGAAGGTCGAGAGGTCGCAATTGTGAGCCGACAGAGACGTCAGCGCTGGGACCGACGACAAGCCGTCGATCAATGCCTCCATGTCATCGGCGTGCAACCCGGAGACGATGAGGCACTGGAGTTGTGCGAGAATGGGCGCTGCTGCAGGGTATGTCGCCAGCTGGCCAAATACATTGCAGAGAAGATATCCGAGCCGCGTGCGGCCGACGGCGGTCGCGAGGTCTGTCAGCGTTGCGTCGTCGACTACGTCGTTGGCGCGGCTCTTCCAATCCAAGATAGTCAACGACACTGGGAGCGTGCGACCGTGGAAGCCACCGAGGCTGGGGACGTTGCTGACAACAAGCTCTCGCAGTGACGAGTTGGCTTGCAGCGCATCGCAAAATGCAATCGCAGCACGCTCGTCCATGTGGGCGACGTGGCTGATTAGGAGGCAGCGGCTCGGTGGTGTCGAGAGCCATGCGGCCAAGAGGTACCCCAGTCGCGGCGTGGCGGTCGCGTGCTGCAGGTTGATATCCAATACTTCGACATGCGGGTGGGCAACGACACCGAGCGCATCGCTGAGCTCGACCAGTTGGTTCGCCCGGTTGGGCACGACGGATATGATCACTTCACGCAGATGTGGGCAGCCCTGCAAGAGAAGGTCGCTCATCGCTCGGCCTCGGTCATTAGCCACACCGTTTCTGCTCAAATGGAGAGCGACGCTGCTGAGCGATGGGCCGACGACGGCGACGAGCGAGGCCAGTGGCGCCGCCTGTCGGATCGGGCACCGGAGTTCGATGCGTGGACGCAGCGGAAGCGTCGCCGCAAGCAGCGCCAAT